GGACTCAGTTACACTGTGACTGACAAAGAAATCCAGGCTTAATTTACTGAAGCTTTTTCTGTTTGAGAGACATTGTTCCTCCAAAGAATACCAGTGTAACCCTTTAAATCTTTATCTCTGCATGGTGTACAGATGAGCTATAACTGTGAGGAAAGAAGAAAAGTACGAGATAATGGATTCAAATGACAATTTAAAGAAATGCGAAAAGGGTTTCCTTGAGTCAACGGATTATTACAAAGGTCTGAACGAATGATCCAAAAAGACAGAAAAATAATCACAAGTAGGTCAGAAGAACTACATCACAAACCGTTTGGGATAAATCAGGAAAGTGAAGCTCTGTGAAGTCAATTCATTATAGGAAACCAACAGTTAACCTGGTCTAAACTAAAATGCTGAGACATTTTTCCAGATACTAATACACAATGAAATTAAATCTTAGGAGGAACGTCCTCGGTAACAGGCCCATCGTTCAAATATACCAACCACACGGCAAACGCTGTTACAACACAGCCATACAAAAGACTGTTCTTCAGAAGAACTGATCGACCTCTTGGTGTTGAAATGTATTGGGAGGTCCTAATAATCATTGTTAATATATTTTAACTTACTTTTTCTGGTGCAGGGTTGAATCGGAACATTTCTTTCTACATTGTGCCATTAAAAACAACAACTTAGAACAATTATAGTCAAATGTGCTTAACTATATATATTTATAGATACACATAAGTGCTGCATAAACAGCACCGTTGGGCCTGTCTTCTGTTTGTTCTGTCTGTTGCTCGTTGAAACACCTACAGCCTCTCATAATATCCTATGCTCATTGTTGCTGCTACTGCGGCTGCTATGTTATCAATGACCCCGCAAACAGGAATGATGCTACACCAAGAGAATTGGAGTGGTTTCTCTGTGTGCCCTGCTCATTTCTGCCCATTGTTCCCATTCTAACGTCCATTATCTGTGTGTACCGCTGTGTTTTCAACATCCTTTGTGCAGGATTTGTACTTCATCCACGTACAGTAGACGAGCAGTACAACGCACACATGCTACAGAATGTGACTGAATCTGTAGCAGGAAACCACTCGACTCATCCAGACTCAACGAGCCTTCGCTTAATGATGTGACAGTTTTGTGGTGTTAAATTGCACAGGTGCTTCTCCATTTACAGGAGCAGATCATATTTCACAGCTGCTGATAAACAGTTAGCAGCTGGTGACTGTATCTGTGTTGACGTTAGCTGATGGATATTGTGATTTAGAGAAATACTTATTTTGCACCACCTGTCTTCAGCCTTCTCCATGTTGAAGAAAAAAAAGGTGCATGAAGTCTGTGCATGTATTCGCTGCCTGGTAAATGTTGACAGTGTTCAACTTCATTTCACTTTTCTGTAAATATGTTGTTTTTAATTATCTGTAAAATGAACAAAATGTATCATCTTTAAAAAAAAATTTAATTTATTGTGTTGATGTTTTCTCTTATCAATCCAGCTGTGGTGTGAACTCTGGGTCAGAGATGGAGCAGAGGACATTTACTACAGTACATTGTTCTGATGTTTTCTGCATTAAATACTGAATTATTCACATTCTGGTCGTCCTTTCATTTGGGGCTGAGTGATTTAGCATTTTTTCCACATTTTTCCAACAAATACATTAATAAAATCTAATCCTTCTATTTTGAAAGTGCTAACTATAGCACCCCCCGTCCCGCAGTACCTCCATAGACCACTATGTGTCCCAACACCCCATTGAAGAACTGTGTAAGATAATAAAAAGCCCTGGGGGTTACAGTTAGGTTTTTGCCCCGAGCATACACCCTAAAACTACAACATGAACAAGCCAGCGAAACTAAAACTGATGTCAGAAGCGAAAGAATAGCAAAAACATAGCTAAAAATAATTAACATAATGTTAAAAAATCTAAAAGTAAAGGAAATCTAATGAAGTGAATAACTACAGAAAATATAAAAACAAATTCACAAAATTATGTATTTAACACGAGAAATGATTATTGTCAACATGGTGGGAACTATAGTGAGAACATCAGTAGTTAAAAATGTTTTTAAGGCAAAATCTTTTAATGTTCAGGGTTTTCATGCAGGGCATATTTTTCATTCACAGTGCTGCTTCTCTGAGACACTTCCTGCAGTTTACAAGGATAAGATGTGACTGTGCTTCAGGTTGAATTGGCATTGTTTCCCTGCTGCTTCCTCAGAATGTTAATGAAAAGACAGGAACTGGCCAGAGAGAGAAGACACAAAAATACTGCAGACTGCTTCGGCTACACCATTGTTAATGACAAACTGTGCTTGTGGAAAAAAGGTAAAATTTGTGGGAGAGACAATTTATCCGTTAGTGGCACTCCTAGTTGTTTTAAAATGATACATATGAACAAAGTATGACAGCTTAAAATGGCAAATGTGTTATGCTTTTTATGGTATTGTCACAAATGCAATTTGCGTCACAAAAGTAAATTTTTTTTACATATATATAATTTTATATATATAATTCTTCCATTTCCTCAAGTGACCAGGGTAATGTTTGAAAATAAGCATTTCTGCTCTGCAGGAAACATCATCATGGAGCAGAGTTTACAGTTGAGTTTCTGACATACATACAGAGGAAGTGGGGCGTTTACATGATATCAAATGATATAATCAAAACATAAAAAGACGGATAAGCCGGCATTATCTCCATTCTGATGAAAGTGAGTGATTTAGTCAGGTTAAGGCTGATCACCATATGCTGTAAAACCACCGGTTTCTAGAGAAGTGGGTGCAGTCATGATATGTGATCCATCTCACCGTAGACTCACCAGCTGAGTCATTCTGGGTGACTGCTGTGTACAGTATGTGACCGGATCAGTAGCGCAACTTAAGATTTTCAAAAATTTCACTGAATTTCCCAATTTAATTTGTGACTAACGTCAATGACCGTGTCCACTAGAAATAGTGGTTAGGGCTCTTTGCCTTACATGAAAAAGGGCACTGGTTCTAATTATTGAGTAACTGGTCTTTATGTATGGATGTAAAAATAATCAAATCCTCAGTCTGACTGATGTCAGGATTTGGTATAAAAGGTTCCTCTGGGCCTTGAACCCAGGACAGATGTAGAAGAAGAACTGTTTTTACCAGCCTTACTCTTCAATGTAAATATACAGATATACACACTACCACTACTATGTCCTCTGCATAAAACCTTTCCCTGAGGACAGAACTTTCTGTGTGAGGGATTTTTGGTGTTTGCTCGCAGCCAGTCAGGCGCTATTCCAATCTCCGATGATCTGATAGTAAGTCTGATCCTCTTACCACTAGACCAAGCTGCCAAAATGTTTGTATATATCCAGACCATACAAAGATGTGTGGACATTGGCAAAATCAGTTATTGTAGGTTGAAGTGACTAAAACTTCACTGACAACTGAAACATTGAGAAGCGGCTGTCACACTGAAGGGTCGGCTGTTGAACTGATCTACAGTGGGGTTTCAAGATAGGAGTTCAATCCGTTCCACAGCAGCACTCGTGTGTCGATCCTCTCGTATCTCGATTCCCCATTAAAAATAACTAAAAACCAATGCTATTAATTAATTTAATTAAAATTCCCCCATATCTAAACATCAAAATATAGACGTAAACAAATATATTGATAATATAAAATCATAATAAAAAACAGATTATATTATTGTTATAAAAATGGGTAAAATAACCTAGGGAGAGACAGTGAGTGAGACAGCGCGAGTGTTGGGCTACTGAGCGTAGGAGAAGGACTGAGAGTGAGGACTCAATTTAGAGGATAGAGAGGGAGAGGGCAAGAGAGAAATAAAGCAACAGGTAATAAGTGAGGCACAGGGAGCAGTCCAGAGAGTGTGGAGTGGAAAGATGGAGCTCGGTTGAGCACTCGTAACTCGATGGTTCCTCGTATCAGGAGATTAGTTACTTACTCGAAACTTGGGAAGTGTGGCCGCACTGTAGTTGCATTTAAAAACAAATAATAATAAAAATACGAAACACATTTGCACCTCATGGTGGCATAAATGCAACAAAGCCACTGCTGAATGGCAGTGCTCAGCGTCATAATGGAAAAGCACTCCAAAGGTCTTTGCTCTTGATAGAGACAGAAACTTCAGCAGTGTAGAGGTTCACGCTCATATTTGTGATCCGCAGCGTGATTTAACGTTCCTGGGAGAGTGAACCAAAATCCAAAGCGTGACACATTGTGTCCACTCAGCTGTTTGTTGGGCAGCTGCCTGCTCTGTAAACCTCTCTGTGAAGGTGGAGGCAGCACTAGGAGCTGTAATGAACGGACCACAGCACAGTGGCCCAGTCTTCCTACCTCCCCTCTTATATATCGGCCCTGCTGAAATCCCATTAAAGTTTTATAGGACCTAATAATTCAATCCGCCACAGCAGAAAAACACCAAAGTCAGTGCTGGGCCATTAATCTAAGGTTTGTGGGCTCGCCGTTGACAGCGTCCTGTAACTTCCACTCAGACGACCTTTATGCTCACAATTTTGGAATCTACCATGTAAACATACAGATTGTGTTTGTCCTTAACTCCCAAAATATGAGTGGATTTAAAAATCAATCCTCCTGCTGACCATAAAGGACAATTATCCGTGATATTTTTGCCGAGACGTTGACTAATGAGATATTTATCTCTTCTCGGTGATAAATACTCCTCGAGCTCAGGCTCAATGACTGCAGACGCAATGCAGATTTTTCTCCATTAAACTTTAAACCACAGGGATTAAAATAAACAACTCCAAAACCCATTTCCAAAAAAGTTGGTGAAGAGTTAACTCTGTACTTTGGTGAATTAAATAGCCAAATAAGAAAAAAAAAAAAGTTTAATGTTATACTGGCAAAATAAGCTAAAAACAACAAAGTGTT